TTTTAAACATTATGCACTTTTTTTTTTCACAGATAGTCGTTATCTTATGCTTTGAATAAACGTGCATTAGTACTATTTTGCTCGATGTGCCCTCTTGTGGCCTCGGAAGAGAAGCCAAAAGCTATTCTTCCCCCTAACTGAAATTATGCATTTTAAATTCGAATATAATTCGAATTTTGATAATATTTTAGTACAAAATTCAAATTTAGCTTTTCAGCCATTTTGACAGCCCTAGTGTCAACATTATATTAGTACTTAGGTTCATCGAGAGTTTCGATCTGTACTCTTCATTAATTCATAAATGAATTTCCTCTCAGTGTGCGAACTCCTCTCGAGAAGTTCCTGCAGCTTCCTTTCAGAGTGAGGTGCTTTAAACTGGCAGGAATTCGTCCGATGACACTTCAGGTGCCCGTCTCAGAAAACACAGCAGAGCTTGTGTAAGTCATTTCTCCTGAAGAAAGCTTTTGGCATCACTGCATGCATTCTGAGCCGCTGTTTGTATGTTTCTCTATCTTAGTCCATCTTCAACATGGGACAGCTCTGCCACAAAATACCTGCACAATCTATTACAAGGTAAAAGTGGGCTTTAGTTATTCCAGCTCATGTTTCCTGTGAGTGTTTAGTGATTTTTGAGGCTCTGCTTGTTTTTAGTGTCGACTCTGGTTGAAGCCGTTCTGTGTGAAACGCAAGCAGGCTGCTCTGCCATTGAGCTCTACTTGACTATTAATAATACGAAGGTAAAATATGTTCACATTACATTCTTTTTCCATCCTCAAAACACAAAGTTGTCCCGAACAGGATTTTGAACAAGTGAGATTGACTGCAGGTGTTTTAGGTTAAATGTTATGTGGCAAATCACTGTCTTTGTGTAGCTGTGTGTGAACCATGAGCTCGTGGCGAAGAAGTTTGCCTGTTTCCTGAAAGAGGAGTCCAGTGCGCTGGAAGGGAACCGGAATGGAGATCGTGCTCCTATCAGCCTGGCATGGGACATCTACTCCAGCCCTCACCAGCTCTTAGAAATGAAAGGATGCTGTCCTGTCAAACCTCCACCATTCTCCATTCTCACCAGAAAAGAGCAGAAAGATGATCCTCGGACAGGTCATGTTAATGAATGAATGAAGATATACAAGGGTTGGACAAAATAATGTGAACATCAATTATTGTAGGGGTTAATATCATTTTAATGTGTCTGTGTGTTAGGGTTGTGTTGGCTGAGGAAATTCGTTTGAGTTTTCCCTCTTTCCCTCGCTTTTAAATAGCTTGTAAAAGTGCCGTGCGCATTTTACTTTCACTTTCAAATAATTGGCAATTCGGCATCAATTGCTTGAATTCAATTCAAGCAACAACAAAATACGTCAAACTCACTTAGCCTGTATATTAATCTTAGAACTTTTAGTAACCAAACTAATAAAAATACACCATGCTATAGGCTATGCCTAATATAAAATAACAAATACCTGACACAAAGTTTAAATGGGTATACAAAACTGAAAATCAGCAAACACTGTGGAACCAAATAAATAAGAAACATAGAACGTTTATTAGCAAAACGAATAAGAAAGCTTGGAGGCACGGCATATACACCTTGATGTCAAATAAAATAAAATAAATTACACACATTTCAAATTAAGTAAAAATCTGCAAACACTCTAGAACAAAATAAATGAGAAATTTATGTTTTAAAAAAACTTCCAAAATCACCTTGGATAAACGGGAAAAGACAACCAACTTTTCAAAATCCAAAGTTTTGCCAAACGTATTGCCCAAAAATTTGGCGCTTTTGCATTTCGTTTCGAAACTAAATCTTCCGCCATCGTCTTGTCTGACTGTTTTCTTTAATATTTGTGTATTTTATATATGTAAAATTATATAGTTGGTCTAGTCCTATTCGATGTACATAAATTGTAATTGAATTACAAAATATGCCAACTATATCACATATTAGTATTTGCTGAGCAATGCGATGATATTCAGAGATATTACATTATTGTGGCAGATGAAAACGTTAATTGCATTTTTTTGTATTTTTTTTTTATAACGAATCACATTAAATTTACTTTGTTCCTCATTCAGAAACAGAAGACGTTTCTCATCTGGAGAGGCAGAAACCACAGTTGTCCGAGGAAGCAGACATGCTATCTCAGGTTAACCCTCGAGTCTCTAAACTAGCCCGCAATGCTGGAACGGATACTGTAAGTGTGCGTTTACAGTGGCATGGCGGTGTGCGTGTGTCTGCCCTTTAAACTTAGTTCTGTGGTTTGATTCAGATTGGCAGAGGATGGCGTATCAGAGCCGAGGCCACTGACATCTTCACAGATGAACGCTGTGCTCAGACTAATATACACAAGCCTCAGTAAGATTTCCACCTGAACCTCATCCCTCCTGACTTAATAGCTCATAACTCGAATATACGGTAATAAGTCAGGTGTCAATACAAACTGAAATATACAAAGTAATTGTGTTTACTTGCCAACAATGTAGTTCAGTAAATAATAATGCAACGTTAAGGAATAAAGTACTTCTTTTTTTTCACAGATACATGAAGTTTAACACACTTTCACATTCAAAGCAAATTCCTCAAGTAAGTACTGATGTGTCTGTTAAAATTTTGTTTTGTAACTAATTGTTTATTAATTTTTTTATCTTCTGAAATTGAAGTAGTTGGTACATGAGTGAATAACTAATAGAAAATGAGTTACTGTGAAATGAAACCGATTTTAATATTTTCAGTCTTTTGAAGAGCAGCAGCACAGTCCTGATCAAACGGACAATAACAGCATCGCTTCAACACCAGCTGCAAGTTCATCATGGTAGGACCAGAGAGTTTTTTCGAACATGAGCGTGTCTGATTGGCGTCAAGTGAATCTGAAGCCAGCATGATGATACAAGGTCTACTTGAGACCAATTGGTCATTCTGCAACCCACCTATTTCATGTGAAAATATGGTTTTGCATGTGTTTGTGTGTCTTCAAAGTGCGAGCGACTCCTCAGAAGAACAGAAAGTGGCAGCTCCCTCACAAGAGTCCAGTCTTGAAGATCAACTGACCTCTTCTAGGTAGGTTTTACATTACCTCTAAACTTCAATTGCCCCTTGGGGCTAAAACATCTGTCAGTCATATTCATTTAATATAATTTACTTCATCTTTTTCACCTTTTTTTTTTTTTTAATTTAACTGTGGACAGACTTATGCAGTTTCTGAACCCTGATCCACTCAATCCAGCCCAAGAGTCTCTTGATGCCAAAGTAAGAGCCTCGTTGTTTGTTTTCTGTATTTGATCGTTTCTTAGATCTTATATGTATTCTGGTATTTAATCTCGCTTGTTTGGTTTCACAGGTTGTACGCTGTGACCCGGGTCACTCAGGAGTTTTAGTGCACGCCGCCCTTCGTGTTGAACCCTGCAGTAACCTGACACGTGCACCCATCAGTGAGAAATTCAGAAAGGTCAATCAGCATCCCTTAATAATGTTCATATTAGAACATTCACTGCATTATTTAGCATTTTGCATGATTTGTCCCATTTCTACTGCAAAGTGTTATGGGAAGTGAGTCCAACTTAATTAACTTCCTACTGTGAGTGTACAAAAATGGAAGAATGTGAGGTATACAGTGCCCTTCACTAATATTGGCGCCCTTTGGTAAATATGAGCAGAGGTGGCAATGAAAATAAATCTGCATTGTTTATCCTTTTGATCTTTCATTCAAAAAATTCACAAAATGAATTTTGTGAATTTTGGGGGGGGGATTTCATC